TATGTGGTGCTAAGGATCGAATCCAGTGCCTCATACATGCTAGGCAAGCACTCTACCACTGAGCTACAAGTGCAGCCCCAAATTTTATTTTATTGACAAATATAATTTCTCTTTAAAAAAATGCATTTGGGAAATTGTTTTTGCAAAACATTTTATAATATATGCCCAGATATACAGTTAGGTAACAGAGGTAGGACAGGTGAGGCCAGCTGAGCTCAGTGCTGATTAGTCAGAATGAACAGATTAGTGGCGAATGTACTGGATAACAGGGAAAGAAAGAGAGGGAATCCCTCAGAAAAAAAATCAAAGAGGCGTCAGTGTCCCCTCTCCTGCTCTGGGGAAATTCCACTCTGCTATTCAAAGAGTGATAACAGGGTATAGACGACATCTGGAATATGTTTGTGTTAAGTGCCATCTGCAAAGCTGGTCTGGTCATAAAATGTGGTAAAAGCTGATTTGGACCTCAGAGTTCAAATATTTGAGATATAAGGTGGGATAACAAAAGCACTTGTGGCATAAAATAAATACTATTAGGGACTGGAAATCTCCTAGAACTAAAAAAGAGTCAGTCTGAAGACCATCAGGACATTTAAAAAAAAAAATGCTTATTTCAAGATCTTAACCAGACCTTGAACATGAAGAGTAAACCTGATAAAGTTATCTGTGCTCCTGGGGAGTGTTAATAAGGTTTGGAAACTGAAATTCTCTTAGATTTCTTTATAGGCTTAATGAGCCCTAACTTTTCAAAATCCTTCAATACAATCATGTTCTTTCTCATCTATTATTTATGGGATTGAGGCTTATCTTAAAACCACAAAGTATAAAGCATCTTATATCTCTCTAGAAAACAACTGCCAAACAACTGCCTCTATTTGGAAGAAGTGTCTATTATTTGGGTTTCAGACAAACCCTGGTCATAAATATTTGGCCCAAAATTGCCTTGTTAAGCTCTACTATAAAGATTATGCACTGGGTGTGGTAGGGGAAGCCTCTAATCCCAGCCATTCAGGAGGACCAGGCAGGAGAATCGCAAGTTCCAAGACAGGCTCAGCAATTTAGCAAGACCCTGTTTCAAAATAAAATATTTCAAAAAGGGCTGGGAAAGGTATCTCAGAGGTAGAGGTCTCCTGAGTTCAATCCCCAATAGTCCAATACCATAAAAAAGATAAAGATTGTGCAAAAAGTGTTCCAGATCAAAGATTACAGCAGAAATTTTTCCTACCTAAAGGACACTGAAATCAACCTTCCAGAAAGCACAGCACTGGAGAAAGAAGGGGAACAGGTTCAGGAAGCCCAGCAGAAATCCTCTGGCACAGAATCTTGATTGAGAAACCAGGAGGCCAGGTGTGGTGGCGCACGCCTGTAATCCCAGTGACTCAGAAGACTGAGGCAGGAGGATCAGGAGTTCATACCCAGCCTCAGCAATTTAGCAAGGCCCTAAGCAACTAAGCGAGACCCTGTCTCTAATAAAATATATAAATAGGGATGTGACTCGGTGGTTAAGCAACCCCTGGATTCAATCCCTGGTACCAAAAAAAGAAAAAGAAAAGAAAGAAAGAAAGAAACCTGGAAACTACAACTTAGAAAAAGTCCATCAATAGTGGATATGTTGATTAAATTACAACAGAGCCCTACCTTAGAATACTATCAGCCATGAAAGAGTCAAGTAATTCTATACAAACCAAATGGGAAAATTTCACATATATAATAACTTTTTAAAAAATCAAATTGCAAAAATATTTTTAATGGGCTGGGGGTGTAGCTCAGTGGTAGAGTATTTGCTAGCACATGCAAGGTACTGGGTTCCATCCCTAGCACCACAAAAAACCACAACAACAAAAAACTTCTCATAATGTGATCTTATTTTGTGTGTGCAGTACATTTTGTTTTAGTGTTGGTTTGGGGTTTGGTTTTGGTAATTATATGGTCATCATTGGGATTGGGACTGTGTACGGGATTTTTACTTTTTCCTTTACATAACTTTTCTATTTTCCTTTAATAATGAGCATTATTTCAAAATACCTAGTAAAAATTAAAAAGATTAAAGGAAAACAATTATACTAAAACAGGGAATTATATATGTGTGTAATATATATATATATATATATATATATATTTTGTATGTGTGTGCGCGCGCGCGCACACACACACACACACACACACACACACACACACACGGGCAGAGGAGATAGCTCAGTGGTAGAGTGTTTGCCTAGCACGAACAGGGCCCTGGGTTCAATCTTTAGCATCATACACATATAAACACATAAAACAAAAGTGATTATCTATGTGGAAATTGTTTTTTCTTTCTTCTACTTTCCTTCATTTTGCAAATTTTCTAAAATGGTTGATAATTAATTTTATAATGGATATATTAAATATTTATAAGCAAATATTTTGAAATATTAAATATTTTGATTATACAGAACAAGATGTATATTATGCTACTATTTATATAAAAAGAGGATACTTCTGTGTGGGCATATACAATTATCTCTGGAATGTTTCAAGAGAATCTGGGAATGCAGAGTCTTCAGAGAGAAACTTGATTACTGGGAACAGCAGCAGAGGGAGATTTTTTAGCCTCTACCATCTCATAACCTTTGAATTTTATATTACATGTATGTTAGCCCTTCTAAAATGCCTAAATGTTTTAGAAATTAAAACTGTTATTCCAACAAAATTTGATTGAGGGGTTCTGGTTTTTTTTTTTTTTTGAGGTGCTGAGGATTGAACACAGGGCCTCTCCCATGCCAGATAAGTGCTCTACCACTGAACTCCAGCCTCAACCCTTTTTCCTTTTTTCATTTTTTTAAAAACATTTATTTAGTTGTAGATAAACACATAGTTCCTCTATTTTTATGTATCTTTTTTTCATTTTGATACAGAATCTCACTAAGATGTCCAAGGTGGCCTCAACCTCATGAGTAGCTGGAACTACAAGCCCACACCACCTACTGTGTTCCTAAATGTTTGAAATTAATGTGTTCACCGAATTTTATGAAGCAATTCTTTAAGGGAAAAAAATGCTGATTGATCGTTTATTCTTTGTGAGGACTCCTACATATGTCATCTTGCCTCATGACAACCTCAGAAATGTTTTTTTTTAAGTAAATGAGGGAAACTCAAATTCAGAGAAATTAGGTGGCTTGCCTAAGGCCACATGGCAAAATAGACACGTCACTGCAGAGGTCAGACTCCAAACTGCCTGGGATTGAAGGCTGTACTATAGCCACTCTCACTGGCTGGCCCTGAGGATTAGAAGCAAGGAGCCCCAGCCAGTGTCACAGAGGGCATTTCTCTGCCTCAACTTTTGTTTTTTTTCCCCTCATATCTAAAATGTAAATATCAATCATCAATGTTCAATAAAATTCTATGATTTAAATACAATTTCTTATTTTGTGGGAAAAGGGGCAACTGTTGGACTGTGTGTGCCCACATTCATATTAATCTAAGGGTGTCAAAGTGGCCCCCCAGCACAGTGCCTTCAGGGGTACGAAGCTTGGTGGGAGAATACGTCCTGTAGATTCAATCACATTGTGTGCCTGCAAATGTTATTACCAGGGTAACTCTGGCCTAGTGATCTTTCTCTTCAGAACTTTATCATCAATTTATGAGGCAATTGTCATAGGGTTCTAATTGGCTGTACTTCAAGCCACAGATCACAAAACCAAATCCAGTCCTAATACCCATCACTGTCATAGTCTTATCCCAAACCTCTTACCCTTTCCTTTCTCACACTTTGTTCCTTAACGGCTCCCTCATGTGTGTGGTTTCTGACAGCTCTGTCTTCCTCCCTAATGCTTCACGTCAGCCCTCTTATATGAGGCTCCATGTTGGTTCTGTCACCTCCTTTCTCAACCATAGTATGCATGTCCCCCAGGTTAGGCCTCCTTCAGCTGCCCAGGACAGACACTTACAGTTTCCTCTGGGACTCCATCTCCATACAGGCCTTCTCTAGCAAAGTCCCTTATACATCTGTCCCCAACAAGTAAGGATACTTTATGAGCTAAAGCCAATGCTGGAGCAACAACTTAGGAGTATAAGAAGCAACACTCCTACAGGGCAGAGCTGATAACAAGAGCTTGCCAAAGCCAATCAAATGGAAAGTTATTTCATTCTGATTAGGAAAACCCTGTCACCAGAAGGTCTGCAATCTTGTGGACACATGCCTTACATAGCTTCTTTGTTGTTTTTTCTCTTCTGCATCTCTTGTGGACAGGAAGCCAGCTCCATTCCATCAGTAGGACTGTTGACTTACAGAGTGACAGCTATGCCTCCTCCTTTGCCATCCGCACATTCCCTGGGTCTACCCCAGTTCCCAACACGTGGACGACACTCACTGTATGTTTTTGAATAAATTCATTAATGGACTGGTTAAATCTTTTTAAATTATAGTATGAAAATATCATAATTTTGAAGCTGGGGGAGAGGGCATGATCTTCCAGCCCTATCCATCAATTCTCAGGCAAGTCCAGACCGTGATTCAGTGTTTGAATGACTTAGCTGAGCCATCATGGCCATCTAGTGGCAGAACATCTGTATCACTGGTTTATTAGGTTAGTGTTTTGGTTGGGTTTATCCTTTGTTTTTGTATTTTATGTGTGTGTGTCTGTGTCTGTATGGTGTGTGTTACTAGGGATTGAACTCGGGGACGTCTACCACTGAGCTACATTTCTAGTCCTTTTTATTTGACACAGGGTCTTACTAAGTTGTTCAGGCTGGCTTTAAACTTGCAAGTCCCTGCATCAACCTCCTTAGTTGCTGGGATCATAAGCCCGTGCCTCTACATCTGTCTATTAGATCTATTTTTAAAAGATAAACTGTAAAGTTAAAATTCAGAAGCAATAGCAATCATATTACAGTATGAGAAAGAGAGGGAGACAGAGAAAGAGAGATGAACAGAGAGAGAAATCAAAAGATGGGAGTTAAGTTCTTGGGAGAGTTGAAGAGGAGGACTGGACAAGGATAGGAAGAAGGGATCAGGTTGGGTCCTGTACTTGTCAAAGTTGACATCCAGCATGCCTGCCTTCTCCTGGCTGATTCGTAACAATGGGGTGTCCAGTCGCCGAATGCAGTCCTTGTCCAGCGTGGCTGTCCAGTCTTGGAAGGTTTTTCGAACCAGTTCATCAATGGCCTGAACCATCTGCTGATAGGTATGTACACTCTCCTCTCCAGTCCCAATATGGGGCAGGAAATGGGCACCAGAAAGGCACTGAGTGGGGAGAACAGACAAGGTTGGCTTATTGGCACATTCTCCCAGGAGGAACAACCCCCCAACACCTCCTACACATGTACACTCATGCACACCCACGTGCACTCTCACAAGCACATGCACACCCCAACAATACATGCAAGCCTTACTATGATTTTTTATTGATTCTATTAGGGGAAGACAGAGCCAAACAGGAATGTGAAGGAAGAGACCAAACAACAATGAGAAAGGGAGTCAAAGTGAGAAAAGAAAAACCTAGAGATTCAGCACAAGAGAAAAGTTGAGGAGCCAAAAGTAAATCACAGAAGGTGAAGGATCTAAGAGGTACAAGATTGAAAATGAGTCTCAGCCCTTCTATGCCTCAGTCTTAGCCCGCTCATCTGCAGGCTGCCTTATTTTCTCCCAGAACCAGAATCAATCAGACAATAGCAGGTCAGTACCTAAAGTGTTCACCCTATATTCCCAAAAGGGTTTTAAAGGTTGCTGTTTTTTGTTTGTTTAATTACCTTTTTGATTATTTATTTATTTATTAGTACTTGGGGTTGAACCCAGGGGTGTTTTACCACTGAGCTACATCCCTAGTCCTTGTTATTTTTTATTTTGAGGCAGGTTCTCACTAAGTTATTGAGGTTGACCTCAAACTTACTGTTCTCCTGCCTCAGATTCTCAAATTGCTGAGATAACAGGTGTGAGCCATTGTGCCTGGCTTTGCCTGTTTCTTTGAGCTTATTTTTCCAGACAGACCAGACCCTTTAAGTTCCTCGCCTGTCCAGGTCTCTGGATCACGAAGTTGTAACATCTTTCTCCTCACCCAACTTCCCTGACACTACTACTATCACTATTCTTCCTCTCCACCTTGACATGAAATTCCTAAAATGATCCCTGTTCTACCAGCCGCACCGTACATGCCACCTCTGCAAACCAGACCCATGGCCTGCCTTACTGAACTAAGTCTGCTCCCACCCTGTGCAGCTTAGTCTCTGGTCATGAAAACTCTCTGGGGAACCTCTCTGGACCCATTCCCCATCCTTCCTAGCCCATGGCATAGCCCGCCTACCCTGCCATCTCAATGAGGACAGATTTTGGAAGAGGACAGGCACCTACATTCATGACTCTGTCAATGCGCCGCCGAAGGATCCGCATCCAGTATGCCTGTCCAGAATACTGGGCCATGTAGGGTACCAAGTATGGCCATTTTTTGCTCAGTTCACGGTTCACAAGGGCCAATTCACTGTTGAACAACATGTAGAGATCCACTGCCTTCTTGTCATATGTCCGCTTGATGGCCTAAATGATAATAAGAAACAGGTGCCATGCCCCATGGAGCCAGATTCCCTCAGCCACTTATCCCAGAGGAAAGTGGCCCTACCATGAGAGCTGCACTCGTTAGAGACATGGAAGCCAGGGGAGCAGATGGAAGAAAAGAGGCTCCTGGGATTTAGCTTGTGGGAAAGGGCACAGGTGTGGGCTGCATGGCATCTGTTTTATTTTGTCTTGATTTTGGTGATAATGGGGACGGAACCCAGAGGCACTCTACCACTGACTACATCCCCAGCCTTTTTTATTTTGAGACATGGTCTTGCTAAGTTGTCCAAGATGGCCTTGAACTTGTCATCCACCTGCCTCAGCCTCTTAAGTCACTGGGATTACAGATGCACACCACCACGCCTGGCCCAAATGCCATCTGGAAGGCTAGGGAGGAACTAAGGGAGGCAGAGAGACACTCAAGGCAGGGACAGAAAGGACACACCTCCCGTGCTGCAAGCCTGTGGAAGGTGTCCAGCAGCAGCACCCCGTGCTCCACATCTCGAACCAATTCGAAGGCCGAAGTGATCAAGTTCTGGGTCATCACCTCCAGGTCTTTGATTCCAGCACGAAATCTGCATCATCAGAGAGGCATGTGAAAGTGTGGGGAGTGCCCTCACCTGTTTCCCCAAGTACATCACCCTAGGGAGAATCATATGTTGCTGTGTACTGGAGTTTTCTGCATGCAAGTCATTGACTAAGTGATTTACATCCCTGAATCCTTTCATCCTCTAAACAATGCTACGAGAAAGGTTCTACTATTTATTTTATAGTTGAGGAGTGAGGCCACCAACTAGTAGCATGATTTGCCCAATGTCACATACCTAGATGCGGCAGAACCAAAACTCAGTCCTAAAAGGTGAACCCTGAAGCTGATCAGCCACCTCCCTCCGTGGCACTCTCTTGCGTCTTCCCATCCCTGAGCTGTTCTTCCTTCTACCATCTTCTTTGTACATGCTGCCACTCCACCCATTCTCGTGTCTTCCTGCCTGACCCTGACATCAGCCTGTGAACCACCCACTTATTGTAGTCTTCATGCCAAGAGGTGTTCTTCACATCCAGGATCCCCCCACGAACAGCTCTCAGCACGTGAAGATTTTTATGAAAGATGTCCTCAATTTCCAGCAAGTTTCGTGTAATCTGTGGCCCCTGGGCACCAAAGAAGCAAGGAAGGGGACCTTGATTGCCATCTTCCCAGCGGGCGAAGTGGTACTGACAGTCACAGACCTGAAAAGAAGTCAGCATGATGGTTCCTGCTTTCTTTTCTGAAAAGTGAGTCCTGAGCTCTTTGATTTAGCTTCAAATATCTAGGCACTAGGGAGGACCAACCAGATGTAGGGGGGATGCTGGGATGAATTTGGCCACACAATGACATATGAGATGCTAAAACAGTGGTAACAGGCAAAAGCCAAAAAGAATGTGGTGGTGGGAAAGCACACAGTTTTGCAGAAAGAGCCAAGAGGTAAGTTCTACTTATAGCCACTTAATCAGAACCTCCACCCCATCTGCCCTGGTTCCTAGGGGGAGGGAAGCAGGATTCTCGAGGGCTTTTGATTCTGTTGTTGGCTTTTGATTCGCCTTCCCCACCTTCCCCGACAGTCTTCTCACCTCAATAAGGTCCTTGCAACGCTGCACAAAAGCATCAACCTGAGCAAATATGCTGGTCTGGTCTAGGACCCAGCCCCGACTGGAGAACCTGTGTTAGGAGAAAAATGAACTGAATCAAAAAGCAGAAACACGAGGGATCAATCTGCCCATTCAAAACTAGACTGCAAGCCCTGGTTTCAGAAAATAGAGACCCCGAGAAGCACCTTCCCTGAATCCTGAATCAAAATGTCAAGAACCAGAGAAGAGAAACAGCATCTAAGTTCTAGGAGAAGATTTTTACATACTGAATTTTAGATTGTGGGACCAAAGGTGACTCATGTCTCCTGGAATCAGGAAGGAAAGGTTATGAGAATAAGGAGAACTCAAAGCTTGGAGCTAGAATATCTTGGCTGGATGTAGAAACAGCTAGGTCTACAAAAATATAATCCACAGACTACAAAAAAGTGCTTGTGAAAGAAATTGGAATCTCCCCCTCTGTAGGAATGACAAGGTAGTAATGGTAGGAGAGACCCATCATACTGGGTATGCATCTGTACAGCCCGCAGGTAGTGATCTTTCCAAGCATGGCAACAGGAAATGCAGCCTTGTAAGTCCTCCTTGCTGGAAGAGACATATCCCTCAAAGATTCGGTCCAGGGAAATGGCATGGCAGCACAAGCGGATGATCTCATTGCTCATCTGCAAAAGGGAGCCCAACAGCCTCAATTCCCAGCTTCATTTTCACCCAATCTCTTCAAGCTCCCTCCACCTCCTCCACATTGATTTGTCTCCTGAGACCCATCTCACCCCTGGTCCTCCACCACTGGGTTCCCCACACACTCCTGTCCTTGTGGTCCCTTGTTCTGCCCCTAGTGGTCCTCAGCTCTACAGTCTCACTGACCCAGCAAGTCAGCCAGTGTCCCCACTCCCTCTCTTTAGAGCTATTACTCCAGATGAAATGCACCAGGCCCTGTTCCTCAGGAGCTGTGTTCCTTGATAAATCTGCCTCTGCCCCACCCTAGGAAATGAGGACAATGAGATATTCCCTTCTGCACACCTCAGCAGGTCTGTCCTTTCTGCCTCCCTTTCCTATGCTCATCAACCTTTCTTCTCACAGCCCCTCCTCCTGAGTGAGCTACTTCCATCTGGAAACTGAAGCTCAGCCCAGGCCCCAGCTCTGAGCATCACTAAAGCCAAAATGCAGGTAGAAGACTTGAGTGTCTGTCAAAGATAAGGGCAATTCTTACCACCTTGCCACCAGCACGTCTTCTGCCAGGGAATTCCACCTTCTTCTGAAAGTCTGAGCCCTATCATTTCAGCCATCCTCCTAATCCCCTCCCAAAGGCCCTCTGCATATACACACCTTTCGGAAGAGAGAAGTCAGTCTCTCACGAGTGTTGTAGTGGGGAGAATTGACCCAGATGATGCGGATGAGACTGATTAGATTAGGGAGCTTATTAGATATGTCCTTAGGCCGCATGAAAGCCAATTCCTGATAAGGTTCCTTCAGGATTGACAAGAAGGTCAGGTTCGACTGTGCTTGGCGAGAGCCATCCTGGTAGTAAAGAGAACCCAGGAGGGCATTTATCCACTGGAAAGAGCAAATTTAGAGCATGCATATCATTTCCATCTTTAAAAAAAAAAAAACTTGTAGATGGACCCATACCTTTATTTTATTTAGTTTTATGTGGTGTTGAGGATCTAATCCAGTGCCTCACACATGTCAGGCAAGCGCTCCACCACTGAGCCACAACCCCATTCCCTTCTTATCCATCTTAAACACCTTCTTGACTCACCTCTACCAGGAAGCCCTCCCAGTGAACTGTACCCAGGAGCCATCATTTCAGGTCTTGGCATCCCTCGGGAACAGTTTGCACATATCAACTTTTATTCATTTACAACTTTTGTGAAAATGTTTCAGAATGGGAATTCCTCAAGTTTAGGTCAGCTGTCTACTCCTCTTTGTTCTCCAGTTGAATTCAGAACTCCATACCAAGTGGATATTCCATAGCTGTTGATCCACTATCAGATATCACTCCCATCCCATCGCCCAGTTCCCTTAGCTGCCTTGTTTTCAACCAAGGCTTTAGATTTCTCTTGTTAGTTATGGCTCAATTCTCTTAATATCTAGTTGAAATTTTCACCTGGAAAGAGAGGTCTTTGATCTCTATATCATACTGACCATTTCTTGCATGACCCTACACTAACATAATCAGGTTTTTAATCAGGTTTTTGTATCTTTTTTTTTTTAACAGTACTGGGGATTGAACCCAGGGGTGCTCTACCACTGAGCTACATCCCTATCCCTTTAAAAAATTTGAGACAGAATCTCGCTAAGTTGCTCAAGCTGGCTTTAAGCTTATAATCCTCTGCCTCAGCCTCCCCAGTCACTGGGATTACAGGTGAGCACCACCACACCCAGCTTCAATTTTGTTTTTGAAGTATTTATTTTTAAGTTCTCTTGACTGAACAATACAGGTGTAGTTTTACTAATTCTATTTTTGTAAGTCCTATTTTCTCAGCTGCATTGTAGGGATTAGATTCACAGAGGGTAATCAACATGTAATCAACATGTAGATGTCTCCCTTCCCTATGAGTTCTTTGGGGACCCTGTTCAACTATTCTTATCTTCTCCCACAAGTATGATTCCAAACTGTAGACTGGTCAGTCTGTGTTGATAATTACGTTGGCTCCCCGCTCATAGTCCCTCTTGCCACTCCAACCATTGCCCATTTTTTGCTTTAAGCTCCCATCTACTGATCCACTCACAAACCTGGATCTGCTGGGCCAGTTTGATAAAGGGTGTCAGGTAGGATGACTTGGCAAGGCGCAGGATGGACTCAATGTGTTTGACTCCTGGCTTTACCAGCTGTTTGCTGATACCAGATAAGTCCATGCATCGGTTGCGCCAGAACTCAATCTCTTCCAAAGGTCCTGAGTTTTCTCCTGTCTCCACCGTCTCCTGGGAGCTGAGCACCTCCTTGATCTGCCGGGTCCAGTGGATCATGGAGGCTGCAGGTGAGAACCAAACCACTTGTGTTTCTTTGTGCCTTTGCTCAATTGTGCCCTTCCCTTACCACCCTGCCCACCTAACCCAGCTCCTTGATTAGCATAGGGGCTGCCTCTTCTCTCCTCTGCAATCCCCACTGGACACTGGCAATGCTGGCCACTCACTCTCCAGCCGCTGCACCAGCTCTTTGTCCTTCACCACCACCTCCGGCTGCATGGTCATGGCCTCCGTGGGGATGTAGAGGACAGTGTGCCCCTCCAGTTTGTACCGAGTGTCTAAGGAAAGGACCGTGTGAGTTCAAAGAACGTCAATTTTTGCTGCCCAAGTATCAATCATGATTGATGATTGGTCAGGGGTGGGGTGGGGTGGGAGGGTTGAGAGTTACAGCTGTTTCACATCTGCAGACTCAACCAACCATGGATGGAAAATATTTTTTAAAACTGCATCTGTACTAAACATGTGCAGACTTTCTTTTTTATCATTATTTCCTAAGCAGTACAGTAGAAAACATATTTACATAGCATTTACATTTTATTAGGTATTATAAGTAATCTAGAGATGATTTAAAGTAGGCAAGAGAACGTGTGTAGGTTATATGCAAATACTACACCATTTTACATAAGGGATTTGAACATCCATGAAGTGGAGTATCTGAGGGTGTCCTGGAACCAGTCTCCACAGATACTGAGGGACAAACTACATATGCATTTGAGGACTGCAGGCAGGGGAAATTATGATTCATGCTCTTTTGATATCGAAAAGGGAAATAACAGAATGCAAGAGAAAAAAACTCATTGAGGTATAACAAGACATTGCCATAAAATAATTCCAAAGATCTGTATGGCCCTCCAGAATCTACCATGATGCATGCAAGTCTCCCTCTGCTCCAACACCACCTACATTTCTCCTTACCCCAATTGTATTCTTAGAAATTTTCAATTCTAAGTTCCAACATGTGCGGCCAACCAGTTCTACAGTAGCAAAATGTGTCTGGATTAGAAGGCAGATTTTTTTTCATTATGATAAAATTTATTTATCAGAGACTTATCTTCATTAATCAGTAATATTCAAGATGTCTCTTGCTCTTTTTTTTTTTTTTTGTACCTGAGATTGAACTCAGGGGCACTTAACCATTGAACCACATCCCCAGCCCTTTTTTTGTATTTTATTTAAAGACAGGGTCTCACTGAGTTGCTTAGGGCCTCATTAAATTGCTGAGGCTGGCTTTGAATTCCCAATCCTCCTGTCTCAGCCTCCCAAGCTGCTGGGATTATAGGCATGTGCCACTGCACCCAGCTTCCCTTGCTCTTTAAGTTAGCAGATTCGTAGTTTTGATTTAGGACACTTAGGCAAAATGCTTCTGTGTGTGTGTGTGTGTGTGTGTGTGTTTCAAGTGCACATGAGTGGGTATACACAGTGAGATTTCCTTTCAAAGATTCTTTTAAGGGCTGGGGATATAGCTCAGTGGTAAAGCACTTGCCTAGTATGAAGTATACCCTGGTTCAGACCCCAGAACCTTAAAAAGCAGATTATTTTAGATGTTGATTTGAATGTCAGTTACAGCTAGCAGTGTAGCTCAATGGTAGAGAACATGTGAGGCCCTCAGTTCAATCCCCAGCTCCACCAAAACAGAAGGAGAAAGAGGAAGAAGAACACTGATTCTGCACCCTTTTCCACTCACTCAGCAAACACAAACTGACCAGGATCCCACCTGCCTCACGAGTCCTACTAAGGAGAAATCAAGCACTCACCTGTCAGACACGCCAAAAACCTGTGCAGATGTGAAGCAAAATGATTTCGAATGCTCTCAGGCCAAGTTACATTTGTAAAAATCTGAGGGGCAAAGACACCAGTGAGCAGCCGGAGCAGGGCTGGGATATAGGAGCCCCGCACTGTCCCAAACTGCACAGTCGCATCAAAGTTCTCCGAAGTGATGGGGACAGGTGCTTGGCGAATGAAGTAGACAATCTGATTCTGGGTCTGCATGAAAGGAGGAATCAGAGTTCAGTCTCCAGGCCCCACCATGATGCCCACCATGATTCAAGAGAAATCTAAGGCTCCCACTGTGAAAGCCTGGCTGAGTTCTTTGTCACTGACCCCTAGTATACCCTGATCCTTCTCCAAATGTGTATAAGGTATTTTCTGTTCTTCTCAGGACGTAATCGATTCAGTACCCATTAATACGGAGAGGAAATGCAGAGTGAGCCTTAAAGGTAGGGACTCTGCATTTTGCCCAACTTGACTCCAGAACCTAGCACAGTGCCTGGCACATAGTTTATGCTCAATAGATGTTTGTTGGGTGGATAGTCCTAGGGACATTGTAGAATGAATGAAGTACTTGGCCCAGTGGAAAAGCAGAAATAAGAAACTTCTAGAAGTAAGAAATAATTGTCTAGGATTTCCCATTTGGGTTGTATATGTTTTCCCCCCAATTTTTTCATTTGTTCTTTGATTTTGCCTATCATGAGTTTTTGCTGCTGCTTGTGTTCAGAAATGCATAACTTTCATTAATTATATCTAAAACATTTCAAATTTAAAGATCTGATGGCTACCTGCATAGGCCATTCCTATCCTAAGGTCAGATTCACTGGTTTGGTTTTTAGTGCTTTTGTAACTACTCTTTATAATTTCTTTAATTTTAAAAACTGAAAATTAAACACAAAGAAGAAATTAATAATTATCCATCCGCCCACCACTCAGAACTACTTCCTGGCATTTTATATTCTTTTGTTTAAATCTTAACGATTATTATTTTTGTTAAAACGATATATGTTAATTATGGAATGACACAGAAGAGCTGGGAGTGCAGCTCAGTGGTGGAACGTGTGCCTAGCACGTACATGCTGGGTTCAGTCCCCCGCACTGCAAAACACACACACACACACACACACACACACACACACACACACACACACACACATAGTCGCGCGCGCGTGCGCGCGCGCGCACACACACACTCTCTCTCTCTCTCTCCCCAAATATAAAAGTAAAAATATCTAAAATTCCACTCCCCAGAAATTAAATATTGTTAGCATTAGGGAAAATATTTTTCAGACATTTTCCTACAGACATAGACAAGTAGAAAATTTAATTGAAAGTTGATTTAAGGGGCTGGGGATGTGGCTCAAGCGGTAGCAAGCTCGCCTGGCATGCGTGCAGCCCAAGTTTGATCCTCAGCACCACATACAAAGATGTTGTGTCCGCCGAAAACTAAAAAAATAAGTATTAAAAATTAAAAAAAAGAAAGTTGATTTAAAATAGGATTGTGCTATTTTAGTTAAAAGTATTGCCAGTTAATTATAATACAATTTAATAGGAAAAAAAAGAAATTGAAGTAGATATAAGGCATTGCTGAGGCTTCAAATAAATATTTTTTCATCCCTAAGAGGTAGTTCTTCCCCAAAGACCAAAAGTTTGTGACAAAGAAAGATTATTAAAGCATTGAGTTTTCTCAGTGCCATTCAATTTTTTGTGTGTGTGCTGGGGATTGAACCCAGAAGGGCTTTACCACTGAGCTACACCCACAGCCCTTTTTTTTTTAAGTTTTTTTTTTAATACTTATTTTTTAGGTGTAGATAGACACAACAGAATGCCTATTGTTACATGGTGCTGAGGATCGAACCCGGGTCCCACCTGTACTAGGCAAGTGCTCTACCGCTGAGCAACAATCCCAGCCCAAGTTTTTTTAATTTATATATTTTTAGTTGAGATAAACACAATATCCCTTCCTTCCTTCCTTCCTTCCTCCCTCCCTCCCTCCCTCCCTCCCTTCCTTCCTTCCTTCCTTCCTTTAATATGATGCTGAAGATTGAACCCAGTCAGGGCCTCACATGGGCTAGGCAAGTGTTCTACCACTGAGCTACAGTCCCAGCCCCAACCTTCAGCCCTTTTTATTTTTTTTTATTTTGAGACAAAGTTGCTGAAGATGGCCTCAAACTTGTGATCCTCCTGCAAGTTGCTGGGATTACAGGCATTTGGCCACTGCAACCATTACAATTTTAAATTCTATTGTCTCACCCTTTGAAAGACAAAGGCCAGAGGTAACATCCTCACACTCCCTCTCACTTTACTAATACTTGCCCATTTTTGTTATAGTATCACTTTTACATTGTCCAGGTTTATAACCTTCACATTCTATAACATAGTTATAAGTTCCTAAGGTTATTTAATATGAATTTTTATTTAAATGAATTAAATGTTCATTAATTCTCTATTCCTGAGTCCTTTATTTGGTTCATATCTTGAACCAAACTTAACTGGATTTTAGCTGATTTGTTTGTCTTTTTGCAGGGATAGAGCTCAGGGCCTCACATTTGCTAAGCAAGCACTCTACCACTGAGCTACTCCCATCCCTCAGTTGATGTTGTTTTTTCTTTTGTTTGTTTTTTTTAAATAGGAGTCATTCAAGGTTGAAAATGAGTGCCTATTTGTTTATTTTATCCTTAAGCATCTTTTCTGGGAATAATATGCTTATCAGACATCTTTCCCAGAAAACTCTGTAGGAATGGTCTGGGTTTAGAAAAGTCAGAGATCAGCCTGATATTTTTCCCTGGGTAGATAATTTGGGTTGTTTTGGAGGAGATGTCTATTAACTTTTCCTTTTTTTTTTTTTTTGTAGCAGGGATTGAACTCTGGGGCACTTGACCACTGAGCCACATCACCAGCCCTTTTTTTTTTTTTTTTTTTTAATGTGGTGCTTCAGATCAAACCCAGGACACACTAAGCATGTACTCTACCACTAACTACATCTCCAGTTCTATTTCCCAATTTTTCATTCTGAAAAAAAAAAGTCAATTCATAGAAAAGTTTCAAGGATAGTATATACCCTTCACCTAGAATCACTGTTAATCCTTTACTGTATTTTCTTCCCTCTCTCTATAGCTGAGCCATTAGAGAGCTGCAGACTTCACAATACCATACCCTTTAACACTCCAGCACATGTCTCATAAAAGCAAGGATAATCTCCGACAGTAATGATCACACTCTGAAAATTTAAGCTTGTCCACATCATCTCCCACCACAAGAATGAGATCCTAATTAGAATAAGTCATACTCTATGTGTGAGTAATATGTCAAAATACACTCTACTGTCATGTATATCTAAAAAAAAATTATTTTAACATCTGCGTAAGATAAAATTCACTATCTTAAACAAAAGAAAATTTAAGCTTATCTGACATACAGTCCATATTCAACTTTTCCCAGTGGTCCAAATATCATTTATTGCTGTTTTTCCCCACATCCACAATCCAGTCCAGTATCACACATGGTCCTATCCCCTTAGTCTCCTTTCATTTCAAACAATTCCCCAGCCCTTTCGCTCTTTCACAGGATTGATATTTCTAAGAATCCAAGCCAGTGGCTTTCCAAAATATCCTTTAATTTGGATTCATCTGATTTCTTCCTCATTATTACATTCAAGTTATATTCTTTTTAAAAATATTTAATTTTTAGTTATATTAGGACACAATACCTTTATTTTATTTATTTTTATGTGGGGCTGATGATGGAACCCACGGCCTCACACTTGCTAGGTGAGCGCTCTACCTCTGAGCCACACCCCAGCCCTCAAGTTAAATATTCTTGGCAAGAACAGCACATAAGTGATGTTCCCAAAGAATTAGCAACCTTGAATTTTAGTATTGTAACTAAGATAGGTATTGATATTAAAACTTGAGTAACAAATTTTGTTTGTTGGTTCTTTTGTATTTGGGAGAAATTCTTTGTATTTTATCTTTAAATGTACATTCAGTGTCATTTGCTGGCTCTCTATACTCCCCTAGATCATCTATGCTGGTCTTCCTCTTTAATTATGTTAATGACTTTGGCCTTCTCTCCTGCACGCCCTGTGATTACCTCAAGTCTCTCCTCTAGCTTTTCAGCATCATTTCTTCAGTTCCTTGCCATTTCAAATCTACCAGATTTGTAACATGCAGCTTTATTTATTTTCTAAAATCTATAGTCTCCCTTTTATCTCATTCTCACCTTTTATCATTTCATCTCTCATTTAAAAAAAATTGAATGTATGTTCATATTAGGTTACTCTATAGCATAATGCTGTTGTGAGGAATTTCCTTCTGTTCTTTCAGTTATGTCTTCCTTCTTTGCATGCTTTGTTCCTTTTTTTTTTTTTTTGCTCTTGATATAATATGCCTGCCGTTGCCATGCAATTTCTCCTCACTTTGCTCATGCTCGGGCAGCTCTATGAATTCATTCTTTTGGCTGTAACATACTGTGGGCGACTTCTAGATGTCCCACTGTGAAGGACCAGTTTATTTTGCCTCTTGAAGATAAAGTGAAAGGATTGGGTATTTTATATTGTATTCACTTTTCTCTAGCCTACGAGACCTGATTGAGGGAATGAGCAGGTGGTCAAGGCTAATTTAAGGCAGCATCTAATCTTTGTTAAAACGCTGAGGCTTGAGGCTTGCTCTCTCTTTCAAGATTCTGTAAATGATCCAAGGTTCCCTCCATTCAGCTGGGGGGGGTGCCCTTCCTATGGGCAGGGTGGGTGCCTGGACTCAGTGCTAAACCTTGCCATTGATAAACCTTTTATTTTTGTTTATTTATTGTCTATTTTTGTTGTAGTTCTTTCACAGTGCTGGGTATGGAATCTAGGGCTTCTTCCATGCTAGAGGAGTCTATGGCTGAACTACATCTCAGCCTGGGGTAATAATTTTTTGTTTGTTTTTTGCAGTGCTGGGGATTGAACCCAGAGCCTTGGGCATGCTTGAAAAGCAGCTGTACCACTGAGCTGTGCCCACATCTCTTCAAGGGTAATAGTGTTGTTGTTGCTGTTGTTGTTGTTTTTTGGTGGGGCGGGGGTACCAGGGATGAACTCAGGGGCACGTGACCACTGAGCCACATCCCCAGCCCTATTTTGCATTTTATTTAGAGATAGGGTCTCACTAAGTTGCTTAGTGCCTAGCTTTTGCTGAGACTAGCTTTGAACTCACAAACCTCCTGTTTCAGCCTCCCAAGCTGCTAGGATTATAGGCATGCGCCACCATGCCCAGCTCAAGGCTATTTTTTTGTTATTGTTTTATATATAAATATATATGTGTGTGTGTGTGTGTGTGTGTGTGTGTTGTAGGTGGACACAACATCTTTATTTATAAAATATTTATTTTTTAGTTGTAGCTGGACACATACCTTTATTTTATTTATTTTTATGTGGTGCTGAGGATCAAACCCAGTGCCTCACTCATTCTAGGTAAGCACTCTACCACTTGAGCCACAACCCCAACCCTCAAGAGTAATAATTTTTTTAGGAAGTTTCAACTGACCATCTTAACCAGGAGAATATAATTAAACTGATAATCTATTTAGAATGTATTTCAGCAAGCTAAATAGATTCTTTTTTAATTGGAAAACTTAATCTTGCATGTTTCCAAATTCTGTTCATTGACTAATCCATTCTTTGCCACAGATTTTAAAATGCCATATTTTTTGTAGAAAATGCTTACATATCTGTTTCTCTACTTCTATTTTCTGTATTTCCTATGCTTCTGTACTGTTACCAATAACATCTATTTTTGCACTTTCTACATTTCTGTACTGTTGCTATAACATATTCCGACTTAGTAGAACTGTTTTAATTACTGTAGCTTAATAAAAAGGATTTTATATTCATATGTCTCCTCCATGATTTTCCTTCTTCAACATCTTTGCTATTTTCCTGGACTTCATTTAAAATCCTTGCCAGGCACAGTAATGCATGCCTGTAATCCCAGGAGTTCAGGAGGCTGAGGCAGGAGGATTGCAAATTCAAAGCCAGTTTCAGCAACTTAGCAAGGCCCTGAGCAACTTAGCAAGATCCTGTCTCTAAATAAAAAATCAAAAGGGCTGGGGATGTAAATCTGTGGTTAAGCACCTTTGGGTTCAATCCCTGGTACCGAAAAGAAAAAAAAAAAAATCCTTTACACAGGAATCTAGGACTGTGACATTTTGGCACTATGACTGGAGCTGCATTAAAAATGATACATTTTTGTCAGGCATGGTGCCATGCTCCTATAGTTCCAGCTACTCAGGAGGCTAAAGTGGAAGGATCATTTGGGCCACAAGTTCAAGACCAACCTAGGCAACAAAGCAAAACCCTATCTCAAAAAACAAACATAAAAAGGTAAATTTCTAGATTAAATATCTCTTTTAAAATATTTTTTAGTTGTAGATGTACACAATACCTTAATTTTACTTATTTATTTGTGGTGCTGAAGATTGAAACTAATACCTCACATATGCTATGCAACTGCTCTACCACTGAGCTACAACCCCAGGCCTAGATTAAATATCTTTTACAGTTTTTTTTTTCTTTATTGTGGTACTGGAATTTAAATCCAGGGTGCTCTACCACTGAGCTATATTCCCTGCCCTTTTTTATTTTTTTATTTTGAGGCAAGGCCTTGCTAAGTTGCAAGGCTGGACCTGAACTTGAGATCCTCCTGCCTCAGCCTCCTGGAGTGTCTGGGACTACAGGTGTGCATCACTATGCCTAGCAAAGTATCTTTATGCTATTAAGATTCCCACTTAGAAACAAGCTATCGCTCACCATTTATTCAAGTCTTTTTTTATGGCCTGTCACAAAGTTATTTCCTTTTGCATAAATCTCACTTTATATTAAATATTTACATTCAAATAGAAACAGTTTTCCAAATTTTTGTGGGTTTTGTGTGTGAAATCATTTTTTCATTATGTTTTGTGGCTGATCATTGCCAACACAGGAAAACCCATGGCCTGTTTATCTTTGTTTAATATGGAATGCTTCAAAATTGTGTCATCGTGGCAGAGTCATGCTAAAACTTCATTATCATTTCAAGTTTTGTGTATGTGTTGCCAATAAAAGCAAAGCAACAACCTCTTTTCCCCCCAATATTTTATTTCAAGTTTTTTCAAACGTACAGAAAAGTTAAAAGAATCTTAAAATAGTGACTCAGATTCTACCATTAACATCTTACTGTGTATCTTTCTTTTACTCCCTACCCTAGGTCTTTTTCTCCCTACTCTAGGTCTACCCTTCTGTAACATATCCTCCATATTGTTGAAATAATTATCTAAACCAAAAAAGACTTTCAATAGCTCTCTCTGGAACACAGGCCAATTTGTTTAATATAACATATAAGGCCCTAAACAAGCTGACTCCAATCCACTTTCTCAGTATCATACTCTTCTGTGTAAATTAAATATATTTGGGGGAGGTTTTTGGTTCATTTGTTTTTGTTTTCTGGTACTAGGGCTTGAACTCATGGGCCCTTTACCACCGAGTTACATTCCCAAATCCTTTCTGGTTTGGATTTTGAGACAGGGTCTCACTCAGTTGCTCAGGGTCTCACTAAATTGCTGAGGCTGGCCTCCAACTTGTGATCCTCCTGCCTCAGCCTTTTGAGTCACTGGGATTACAGGCATGAGCTACCATACCTGAAACATTATATGTTTTGTTTTTAATTTTTTTTAGTTGTAGATGGACACAATACCTTTATTTTATTCATTTATTTTTATGTGGTGCTGAAGATTGAACCCAGTGCCTCACACATGCCAGGCAAGCACTCCACCACTGAGCCACAACCCCAGCCCACATTAAGTGTTCTTTACTGAACAGTCTTCACCTGGTCTTGATGAAATCCTACTTACCACCTTCATGCCCAGCTCAAATATCACCATCAAGTTTTCCCAGAATTCTACTGGCTCTATTAGTTGCTTCCTGGAATCTCCTATAACATTGTGCCCATGCATCAAAATACATCATAGGGTATAGCTCAGTGGTAGAGCACATGCTTAGTATGCATGAGGCACTGAGTTCCATCCCTAGAACTCCCACCAAAAAATAAAAAATACACACACACACACACACACACATACAGATATAGTAAATATTTATATATCTGTCTTCCCCACTAACCCATGTTATATTAAAAGCAAAGTGGTGTCTCATCCTTCCCTGTACCCCTGCTTCCAGATAGGACAACAATATACAATGGGGCTTCATGGGCCTTGGCAGAGAAGATAACAAGATTCAAGGTTGCTGGAGCTATGAGGAACTCTCAGCATCCTAGAAGACCACCCCTGATGTGGGAAAGTGGAATACCCACCTGTATGGGCATGCCCAGTTCCAACTTCAGCCCCAAATAGGGATCAACGAAGATGGTAAGGATAGATTCCGTGGGTTCCCGGGCAAAATGTTCCAGAATTGCATTATGTTCCTCTGTCCAGTCTGCATTTGCCAGTCCTGTCATTGCAGCTCGGGAGAGGAAGAGGGGCTTCTACCAAAGGAGAGCAGACAGAGAGGCAGATCAGTAAGCTATTAGAATGAGCCATTCTCCCCGCCACAATTATACACTAAGACGTGGGATATGAGAGGAAAAGCCAGACAGGCTCAGAATTCAGCAGCGAAAACTGAGGATGACTGAATGATAGGTTTCAGGCTTTTGAAAAAACAAGACAATAGATCCTCCTGCCTCTGAGAGTGAAAACAGAATGTGTCATAGAGGAAAACGATGGGCTATTATCTTCCCAAGATATTTCATTTATGCCTGTAATTGCAAAAAAATGCTTTCTCAAGCAACCCTCAATCTCAAAGGTAAAAGGGAATTATGGGAACATGTAGGATGTTAGCCTAGATCAAGCAATTAGGAGCAGGAGATGATGAACCAGAAAAGGGATAAGAGTACCAGAGCAATTTCTTCTTAAAGCAGCACCCCCCACACACACAGATGCTAAAATAAGTATGATACCAGGTAAAAGCCAATCAACAAAGCATTAAGGAAGAAGTAATGGGTGGGGGTTCTGAAAAGCACCAAAGAACATACTGGTAAGATAGAAAATAAATTGTAAAACTGGTGGCTAGAAAAAAAAATTAATCTATAGAACTCTACTAAATAAATGAAGGAAACTGGAAGAGACAAAGATATAGTTCAGAGGGCTGGGGATGTGGCTCAAGCGGTAGCGCGCTCGCCTGGCATGCGTGCGGCCCGGGTTCGATCCTCAGCACCACATACCAACAAAGATGTTGTGTCCGCCGAGAACTAAAAAATAAATATTAAAAAAAAAAAAAAAAAAGATATAGTTCAGTGAACTTGAGAAGTCACCCTGTCCTTCTTCCCCCAGTGATCCTAAAAGATGAGAAGGAATTGCTCTTGAAGTTTCCAAGTCAAGACAATTTAATTGGCAGTGATCTAATACCTTTCCTATATACAATATGAATGAACCAATAAGAAAAACACCAAGGGCTGGGGATGTGGCTCAAGTGGTAGCGCGCTCGCCTAGCATGCGTGCGGCCCGGGTTCGATCCTCAGCAGCACCACATACCAACAAAGATGTTGTGTCCGCCGAGAACTAAGAAAATAAATAAATGTTAAAAAATTCTCTCTCTCTCTCTCTGTCCCCCCTCTCTCTCACTCTCTCTTTAAAAAAAAAAAAAGAAAAAAGAAAAACACCAAGACCCAAATAAATAAATGGACCAAAGGGCATGAAGAGATGTGTCATGTCAAAAAATAGAGGAAATGCAAATGTGAAAAATTGATATGTTTCACTTAAAGTCAAAGAATACAAATAAAAACAATAAAGACATCATTTAATGCCTATATTTTTAATAAAATCCTTGCTAACTTGATAACCCCTGGATTTGAAAGGGTTTGTTACTAATGTGAGAGCAAAAAATACAATCAATTTGGAAAACAATTTGGTTTTAGATAGCAAAAACATTGCAAATGCTAGGTACAGTGGTACATGCCTGTAATTCAGCAACTCAGGAGGCTGAGGCAGAAGGAATCACAAGTTCAAGACCAGCCTCAGCGGGGCCCTAAGCAATTTAGCAAGACCCTGCCTCAACATAAAAAATAAAAAAGACTGGGGATGTAGCTCAGTGGTATAAGTGCCCCTACGTTCAATCCCTGGTACAAAAAAAAAATTAAAAAAATTAGAAGAGCAATCAAATTACTCTTTGATTTGGTAATGCCACATATAAGACTCTGTCTTAAGGAAATATTAAGTATTTCAAAAGTATTAGTTTTATGTACAATATCTACCACAGTATTATCATCAAAGAAAAACATTAGAAATGGCAAGACATACTAGAATAATGGCCTAACTAAGGTTCATACACCTAAGAGAACAGTATACAGCCATTAAAAATGGTGCTTACAAAAGCTACATAAAATCATGAAGAATGATAAAATATTTCATGAAAAATCTGAACACAAAAGTCGTAATGTGTGGTACAGTTAGGATTACACAAAAAATGCAAATTTATACTCAGAAAAAAAAAGACACACATCAAGATCTTAATCTTGAATGAGTTTGGGCAGTAATGCTATTTTATTTTCCCTTTCTTTGTATTTTCTGTCTCTTCCAGTTTTTAAAAACGGGAGATTATTATGTTTCTCTCTCCTTTTAAAAAAATGTCCAAATCACCACCCTATTCTTCTCACCCACAACAATATGGATATGCCTCAGCTCTGCTGCAACTGGTAAGTAAAGATGTAGAGGGCAGTTAGTGCCAATTTCTCAAGGTGATTGAGTCAGCTTCTGAAAATTCTTCAAAGAAAAGAACTGAATGAAAGGAAGAAAGAAGTCTTAGAAACTAGTGTCTAAATAGGATGATATTATTCAGCTTGTTCAAGTTGTTCCCATGTCCACCCATAAAACCCATCAAGGGTGGGCAGAGAAAGGAGAGCAGTTCTTCACTGAAGGCCCTCTTCTGAAAGGAGCTTAGACCATTTTGTCCTTTACTCATGGACTAGATCTGTGGTGAGTCAGCTACCAGCAAAGATTAAGTAGGGAGAAGTGACATTATTGAAAATTCCTCATACATATTTCCACCATTGATCCTTTGATTTACCCTTCTTGGGGGAGAAATATTAGCCTCAGGGAAGACTCAAGCCTACCACATCCATCTCAGATTCTTCCAATTGTTGTTCCTTTACTTCAGGTTCCTCCAAAATTGGCTCTAGGAAGAATAAAGATAGAGAAATTAAGACTTTGCTCAGAAAGATAAACATGGTCACCATATCACCCAGCAATTCTACTTCTAGGTTTGTACCCAAGAGTCCTGAAAGCAGAGCTCATATAAGATGTTGGTATCTCAATAGGCAAAAGGTAAAAACAACCCAAATATCCATTAACACTATGAACAGATAAACGAAAGTCATCTTGTCATAACAGTGAAATATAATACACCATAAAAAGGAATGTGATTCATGCTACAACACAGACAAACCTTGAAAACACGACGCCAAGTGAAAGTCAGTCACGTAGACCACATTATTATATGAGTTCCTGCGTATGAAATATCCAGTATAGATAAATTCATAAAGATAAAAAATAGGTTAGTGGTTCCCAGGATCTGGAAGACAGCTACTAAAAACGAGATTCTGGACAGGGGGTGTAGCTAAGTGGTACAGCTCTTGTCTAGCTAATTAATTTAATGAATAAAAAATAAAACGCAAGGTTCTGACGCAACTAAAAAGTAAAGACGTAGAAGTCATCTACTGCCAATTTGTCAAGGTGGCTTTCTTCTAAAGGGGAGAAAATGTTCTAAAATTAGATAGTAGTGATGGTGGCACAGCTTTGTGAATACATCAAAACCCAGCAATTTGTACACTTTAAAAAGTTGAATGTTAGGGGCTGGGGATGTGGCTCAAGCGGTAGCGCGCTCGCCTGGTATGCGTGCGACCCGGGTTCGATCCTCAGCACCACATACCAACAAAGATGTTGTGTCCGCCGAGAACTGAAAAATAAATATTAAAAA